TATTGCACCGCCAGCGATCTCGACCAACACATTCTACCTTAAAGCCCTAGCAACCAAAGAGGTTTTAGAGGATGCCAACCAAACACGGGATGGCACTATGCCCAGGGCTGCTCTCAGGTGATTACACTCCACTAGAAGTCTCTACGGTCTCCTCTAGCTCTGATATCTTCGGTTCCAATTTGGCAACAGTGTTAAGGAGACTAAACTGTGGCCATGGATAATTAGCACAGAGACCTCTGCCAGTGGAGAAAGCTGGGGGCAGAGGTGGGAGTCGGGGGCAGCCTGACTTGGGTCTTGAAGGGTGGGAATCATTTGGACAGGAAAAAGAGCACACATCAGGAGGAAGGAATGAGATGGATCAAGAGGTCGTGGGGGCTGGGAAGGAGAGGAGGAAGAAGCAGAGTAAGGGAGCTAACAGAGGGGAAAGAGGTCAGCCGGCCACAGTGAGTCCTAGCAGAGTAGGGCCAAATAAAGGAAGGTCTTAGAAATTAACAGAAAGGTTTGGGAATGACCTTTTAGGGAGGCTTTTAAGTCCTAATTGAGGAAGCAATTTGATAAAAATGGCGTTCTAGGAATAAGATTATACCATGCTACAGCCTTCAACCGGAGGGGGGAAATTAAGAGTCAAGTTTGTTGTTGTTATTCTTTCTATGTCATGTTTTAAAATTTTTAAATGGGGATATTAACTCTTACCTCCTAGGCTGCTATGAGAAAATGTGATGTGAAGTGCTTAGCTCAGAGCCTGGCACATAGTAGGTGTTCACTAATTTGATAATGCTTGTTATTATCATCTCTCTGAAATTTGCCTTTGACATCAGCAGGTCCCGTTTCATAATCACCTTAGCCCTAGTGACTAGTCGCCTTACCCATTGTCTCTCCAAGGGGGGCAGGACAGGCTCCCCGCATGCTCAGGCATTCAGGAGGCACACACTGACCTTTAGATGGGAGGTAATGAAGGGGCAGGGCAGGGAGAGTGTAAGCAGGAGCTTTCCCTACATCTCCTCCCTGTTCCCTGCCTTGGTTCATCCCCTTTCAATGAGGCTACTCATCCTCTCTGACCTGGGGCAGGAAGCTTCCTCTGCAGCACCTGTCCACAGGTCTTGGGGTGGTGAGGACGCTGAAGCAGGATCTGTGCTTACTGTTCCAATCTCCAGGAGACAGGAAGCCTGGCCTGTGGGCACATTCAGTCATCTTTCTTCCACAAGACAGCTGTCCCATGTCCCAGCACTTGACATCACATCAGGAAGGTGCCATCGTTAGCTTCAGCCTGCAGCCCTCCTTCCATCTGCTCAGGATCTGGGATCCCCCTTCCTCTCTTCCCCCCAACCCTCATTTGACCTCTTGAGGAGCCACCTTCTTAGGTCCACAGTCAGCCACCCCTCAGGGTGGTGGAAGGGACCTCAGTGGGCTCAGTCCTATTCCTATAGATTATAGAATCTGCTAACGGACTGCATTGTGTCCCTCACCCCCAAATTCATTATGTTAAAGCTCCAGTGTGAAGGCATTTGGAGGTGGGACCTTTGATAATTATATTTTGGCAAAGTCATGATTGTGGATCCCTCATGATGGGATTAGCCTCTCTGTCTTTTTCTCCCCACTCTTTCTCCTATGAGGACACAGCAAGAAGACAGGAAGACAGTTCTCACCAGAATCCAATCATGCTGGTACCCTGATCTCAGACTTCCAGCCTCCAGAACGGTGAGAAATAAATGTCTAATGTTTAAGCCACCCTGTCTATGGTATTTTGTCATAGCAACCCGAAAAGACTAAGACATGGCCCGAGTCCTGGTTTGAAATACTGGAAGTTCATCCAGTCAAAGAAAAACTTGGTAATAGGTCACCTTTTACCCATACTTCTTCCCCGGAGGGGCAAGTACTGAGCCTGACTGACGTGGGCCCAGCAGCAGGGAGGCACGGGAGGGAAGGAGTTTCTTCTGTCTTCAGATGAACAGGCCCAACACCATAGAGGTTGTGCTGGTTCCTGAGGAGGCTCACCAAGTAGGAAATGCTTCCAGAACTATTCCTTCAGTAGAAGTGGGAGCTGAGCCAGAGAGGCCATCTTGGACCATGAGCGGAGGTCACACGCTGCAAGGCCATAAGATAAAAGGAGTCTGGGGTCCTGAGCACTTTGTGCAGAATGGCTGTCATGGGGACACCTGGGTGGCTCAGATGGTTAAGCGGCTGCCTTCAGCTCAGGTCATGATCCCAGGGTCCTGGGATTGAGCCCCACATCGGGCTCCCGGCTCAGCAGGGAACCTGCTTCTCCCTCTCCCTCTGCCTCTCCCCCTGCTCATGCTCTCATTCTCTGTATCTCTGTGTCTCAAATGAATAAATAAAAAATCTTAAAAAAAAAAAAAAGAATGGCTGTCATAGGAGCCCTGGACTGCCAGCCTCTGAACCTCAATGGGAGGGAAAGATGCACTTTCGTTTCCTTTAAGCCACTGTCTTTTGGTCTTCGTAACTCACAGCCAAATAGAACGATAACTGATACTGGTTTCAGAAAAGGTTGGCTGTATCTGTCACATGATTACAACTATTTAATGTCCATCTTCCCACTGGATTGTAAGCTTCATGATGACAGGGACCATGGCTGTCTGGCGCAGTAAATCCCCAAGGCCCGAGCCAGGCCATACACACAGCGGGCACTCAGTAAGTGTCTGTTGAATGAGTTGGTAAACCCGGTTCATGACGTTCCTCTCCCCAGGCCTGAGCACCAGCCCTGGGTCTCACTTAAAGCCCATCTCCTGAGGAAAATCTTCCCTGTCACACCTCATTTCCTCCTGGTTCCTCTTCATGCAGGTTCCTGGGAACTCATCCTTTGTGGAGTTACAAAGTTATGCTATTTGACAATCATTCTCTGCTTAGTCCTTGGATGCTTATGTCGCTGCTTAACTAGACCATAAGCTACTTGGGCAGGCAAAACACTCTCAGTTTTTTAATCACTGGGAGCCTTAACCCCAATTCCTCATAAATGCGTATAGTGGACAATAAACACTTCGTGAAGAAAGGGAGGGAGGGAGGAAAACCTAACAAGGCCCTGACACTGAGGAAGAATATTAGATTTCAAGTTGGGGAGGCTGATTTTCAAAAAGGAGAAATAAGTAAGGTCAAAAAAGAGCAGTCGGACTCCCAAGAGCTTAACTTGGGAAAAAATTTCAAAGGCAGTTTGGTGTGTTGAAAATGGGAAAAATATGGGATTCTGGGGTTCCTTTAGCTGTGATCTCAGATAAGTCACTTCACCTCTAACAATCCATTTCTTTATTTTGACAATCAGGTCTGGCTCGATCAGGGGTCTCCTGGTTGTGCTCCAAGGAACACAAGTTAGAGACTCCAAGAAGCTGGAGTCCAGCCCACCGCCTCACCTAGAACTCCATTCTCTTTGGCTCCCCTGTAGGATTTAATTTGAGCAAAAGGCTTTGGAGCTAAAGCAGTTTAAAAACCACTCAAGGCAATGACCCCTCTCCACAACTACATAAAGATCTCTGGTTTTATGATTCAACCAGTTTATTCTCAAAGCTGGAGCCCTCTTCAAAGAAGAAAGGCTATACACAGGCCTTGGTCTCATCTTCCCAGCCAGACTGTAAATTCTGAGAAGGGTGAATTTGGGTTTGTGGTTCTCAGCCTCCCACGACAAGCTTCCCATCTGGGCTCATGGAATTTCAACAATGGGTAGATATATAGAAGTTCCACAAAGTTCTGTGGCTAGATGCTCCAAAGGGGCAGTAAAAAGGCTATGAGAAGGAGAATGTGATCCACTCTGTGGAGTTCTCAGGGATATAGGGACCCCCATATAGGGGTAACTGGGCCCCTGAGCTCCAACATAAGTGTTTCTGCTCATGGGTGTGTGTCTTCAACTTCACATTTCTGGGGCGCCTGGGTGGCTCAGTCAGTTAAGGGTCTGCCTTCGGCTCAGATCATGATCCCGGAGTCCTGGGATGGAGCCTGCTTTTCTCTCTGCCCTTCCTCCCTGTTCATGCTTTCTCTCTCTCTTTCTCAAATAAATAAAATCTTAAAAAACAAAAAACCGTCACCACATTTCTATCACCTTCTTCCCAATCCTGGTTTTCTCATCTCTTTCCTTTTCCCACTTGGCCCTCCCTGCTCCCCTGTCCTCCCAGGCTGAGGTCTGTGCTCCCTCTGACCCTGACACTTTCTAGAGCCCTGAGTTAGAGTCCTGGGTATGGACCCGGGGGTTTGAGCAGCAAGTCAGTGAGATGTCCAGGACAAGCAGGGCTGAATCAGGCACCGGGGGCTTTGTACTCAGGGAAAGAGGCACCTAAAGGGGCCCACATCAAGAAACAAGGACCATAAACAGAATGTGGTATCTACCTACAGTGGAATACTACTCACAATTTAAAAACAAGAAGATTGTGACTCATGCTACAACACGGATGAACCTTGAGGACATTATACTAAGTGAAATAAGCCAGACTGAAAAAGACAAATACTGTATGATTTCACTTATATGAGGTATCTTGAGGAGTCAAATTCATAAAGACAGAAAGCAGAATGTTGCCAGGGGCTGGGGAGTTAGTATTTAATGGATATACAGGTTCAGTTTTGTAAGATGAAAAGGTTCTGGAGATGGGTTGCACAACAATGTGAATATACTTAACACTATAGACCTGTACCCTAAAAATGGCTAAGATGAAAATTTTATATGTATTTTGACATAATTTTTACAAAAAAAAGAAGAACCATTTGAGGGGTCCCTGGCAGCCCCAGAGCTCCTATACCCCCTTCCTGTTCACCACCTGGAGGTGACACCAGGTGGGGGAGTGAGCCTTGGAAGGAAACAAAACTCCGGATTACAGCTCCACCAACTGCAGCCCCCAACCCCCCGGAGCTCTCTGCTCATGGGTCTGACCTTAATGTTTCCAGATCCCTGGGCTTTGGCCCTTGTCTCCGAGCTCCCAGATACTACTCTTTTCTCCGAGGAATATGCGTGAAACCTCATATCTCATACACACACACACACACACACACACACACACACGGAATCAGAGAATCTGGCCCAGGCTTGCCAGAACCGTTTATTTACAGGGCGGGCTACTGGCCCGGGGTGTCCTCAGGGCTGTGATGCAGTGGCAGGTCCAGGACCCCAGCTCCCCAGCTCCAGCTCAGTCACTCTGGGCCTCTGGCTTAACTCGCCCCAGAAAGGTTATGGCCCAGGGCCAGGCACCTGAAAGAAAGTGCTAGATGTGTCCCAGCCCCTTATCACAAACCCCATACCCCAATTGGGATGGCCCTCGGCCAGGGGAGCCCAGGGAAGGGAGCAAATAGGAACAGAGTCAAGGGCACAGGCCTGGGCACTCTTCCACCCAAGGACCTGGCTTTTGCACATGCAGGAGCCCATATAGGAGGCCCCAGGCTGGAGGGAATGGTCTCGCCTTGAGAGACCCTAATAGAGAGGCTGTCAGGTGGGACTGATGAGGGTCAAGACAGGGTGCAAAGAGCAGGGAGAGCTCAAGGCCAGGCTGGAAGGGACCGAGGGCAGGAGGCAGGAGCACAGAGAGTGCAGGGAATGGTGGGCAGGCCAGGCTGCTCTCCCATCATGAACCCCTCTGCTCTCCCGCTACGGGGTCAGATTTGGGACAGAAAAGCTCTAGGGCATGTGGTGGTGTTTGGGAGCCCCTGGCAGACCCCAGAAGGGGCCAGGAGGGAGGCTGCACTCACCCTGAGGGGTCTGCTTCACCCAGACATGATGTGTTTGACAAAGGCTGGGAAGGGAGAGAGAAATCAGTCACTGCACTTGGCCCCTCTCAGCCCGACTTCCAACCTTCCCACCACCCTTTCTCTAGACTCTGATTCTTTCTCTTATTTGGGGTTGTTGGGGAGAAGCTGGAAGAAGAGACCTAACCTCTGCTGTGTATTCTAAGCTGACATCTGGACATAGATGAAATGAGCTATGTTGTCTCTGCTAATCCCCACAACCTTAAGAATGGTGCCAGCATCACCCCATTGCTCAGATGAGAAAATTGAGGCTCAGAGAAGGTAAGTGACTTGATCTAGGTCACACAGCCAGTCTATCTCCAAAACCCATGCTCTTTCCATTATACTATGCTGTTCACTCCAAGGATGGAAAAGAACATCCACTGGGAGCTCACCAACACCCATCTAGCCTCTAATTCCTGGATCTGTTCTGTTCTGCAGACCCGCCCAGCCCAAACTGTGCCCGCTGTCCCTGGGTGCCCGAGGAAGTGAGGCACGACCTGATACCTTCGTAATTGATGCACCCGTTGGCATCCTCTTGCCCAGCCAAAAGCTGCTCCACCTCGGCCTCAGTCATCTTCTCTCCTGGGGTGGGCGCAGTAGGTTCTGAATTACACATGGCAAAGGAGGGACAGGCCAAACCCAAGCACCCCCTCGAGTCTCAAGGCCCAAGGCTCCCCAGATCTGGGAAGTGGACATCCAAGCTTTGGAGGGGGAGACAAGGGTCTTAGGTCTTTCCTACTCCCCAAGGCCTCTCCCTCTGCCCTACAGCCAGCACTGGGGGAGCAGACCAGGGCCCCCGTGATTGAGGCAATGACAAGGATGGGATCCCTGGGTCCCACATCTCAGGCTTCAGCCCTGCTCTGCCGACCTGCTCTCCCTCCTCCCAAGCCCAGCTTGGGGGAAGGTTGTTCCTGCAGAGCCTGGAGAGACAGGGCCTGAATCAGGATGTGATCCTCGGGATGCAGGGACCCCAGTCTACCCCCTACCTATGCCACCTGGGCCCTTCCCACCACTCCCTTCCTCCCCCTTGGGCACCACCAGCCTGCATACCAAGGGTGGCGAGGACATGGCGAAGCTCAGCACCCATGACTGTGCCATTACTCTCCTTGTCGAAAACACGCAGCCCTTCCACAAAGTCCTCATAGGTGCCCTGCTCCTTGTTGCGGGAGATGTGCTGCAGGATGGGCAGGAACGTCTCGAAGTCCAGCATCTTCGCATTCATCTCTTTAGGTGGGAAGGAGAGAGAATGTGATGTGAGTAGAGGCTCAAGGGGAGCGGCGGGTCCGTAGGGGGCCTCGCCCCAGCTCTGCCAGGCCAGGACCAGGGCGGAAGGGAAGAGCCACTATGACTCCACCCAGACCTCTAAACTCCAAGTGGCCAGCTAGGTGGGGGGGGAAGGGGGGCCCAAGGGTGGTCGTGGCAGGATTCGAGGGGCCCGAAGGGTCACAGAACAAGGCCTCACAGTCACAGCTTAGACTTTTGACATGTGACAGACACGTCACGGAGGTAAACCAATAGGATGGCCAAAAGGGAATTTTGCATCATTCCTCCTTTGGGCCTCATCCCTAGACCACATTGCCTGGAGCAACTCTGAATCAATAATTTTTATAAATTTGCAATTCTTTTGTGACGAGCCAGCCCACTTCTCCCACATTATGGTGTGTTAAAAGCTTTAATTTTTAAATCCCACAGATGTTGGCAATTCTTTCTTCTATAACAACATAGGAACTTCCAAAAATGGAAGCGCCCAGACATCTTTTACCTCTGAGAAACCCTGCTGGTCCTCTGGCCCTTTCCTGCCCACATCCTTCACCCCACACTGGTATCTTCACCAGCAAGAGGAGGAGGGGAAGGGGCCAGAACCAAGGAAAGGGGAGGGGAGCAATATGGCCCAGGAAGCCTCTAGAGAAGGCCTGCCTGGCTGCTGCCTGTCCCCACCTAGTGCCGACACCTCTCCGAAGGACGTGTGTTAGGGCAGCTATTAACTCTACTACCAAACATGACAGATGACAGTCACAAACGGGACACACTGTCTTACACCACTTTTGAAACTCATTCACCAAAACCTGCTGAATGCAAATGAGTGACAGGGCATCATTACGGAGCTCATATTGAGTCCGCTTTAACTTGAACAAATAATTTGCAATCTTCAGTGCTCTCACCATCATTAGAAACAAAGTCTTCGTGACATTTCAGTGCCGCAACTAAGATACTGGGCGTGGGGGTGCGGGCAGGTGGTTAGTGGTCAGATCCCCACCTCACTTCCCTGCACCCTGGGGTGTCAGAGGAAGACACTGAAGCAACAGAAGGTCGTTCCTGCTCCCCAAGAGCTTCGACTTCACAGGGAAAACAAGAGCAAGCCCTGGCCACATTCTTCAAGAATCAACTGTCGGAGACTTCCAGATAAATTCTAGCAAGGGGAGAAAGGTAACCTGGGGAAGGGGTCTGGTCTTGAAGGGCTATTGCGGGAGAAGAGAAAGAGCCCCAGGGGCCTCGGGGCAGACACCAGGAGGTTGAGCCACAGGCCCACGCTGACCTTCAGGCTTGGGTTTGCCCAGGACGCGCAGCACCTCGGCGTTGGTGGGGTTCTGGCCCAGTGCCCGCAGCACGTCCCCACACTGCCCATAGGTGATCTTCATCTCTCCAGTCGGCGTCCGGTCAAACAAGGAGAAAGCCTCTTTGAACTCTGCAGAGAGAAGACCCGACTGCAGCCTCCCTGGGGCCAAGCGAAGACAGTGGCCGGGGGCCCATTAGCCTCCACCCAGGCTGAGAGCAGGTCAATGTGGCTGATAAAACATTTCAGTATTTGCCCTCGGCCATCATTCCAGCCCCTCCCTGGAAGCCCACCCACACCCTCTTCTGACAACCAAAGGGGCATCCTGGAGCCTCCGTGACCTGCTCCAGCACTGGGCCTGGGATCCCTTCTATCGGTTATTGTTGTGTCATCTGAATATCTCCCCTGCGGCGCTGCTCCGGTCCATGCACCCTGCCCTGCTGCAGGGGAGGGTCCTGACTGTCAAAATGGCAGGGAAGTGAAAATAGCATGGCTCAGAGGTCAGGATTCCCAGCTTCTCATCTTGGCTCTGCCGAGTAGCCCAGAACGAGCCCAGCTAGGACTCCTGGGCAAACCCTGGGAATCAAGCTCCACCCTCCCCTCCCTTCCCAGTTAACTGTGAGTGTCAGAGGAGGTGGTGGTGTGTGGAGGCACTCTGCAAAGTGATAAGACCTGCTCAGAAGTCAGCTCACATTCCGGCCTGTTCCAGGCCAGACAAGCTGACGTGGTAGAGACAGTCGGACCACACCAGCTCTCCCACTGACCTACCACTGGCCTTGAGCAGACTACTCACTTTGGTGGGCCCTCCTTTTTGGGTTTTTTTTTTTTAGCTCTAAGTGGGGATATAATGTCCACCAGAGTGAGTTGCTGGGGGGATTATCAGATGTGCCAAGCATGCTGCCTAGCACATGGTAAGGGAATCAACAAAGGGTGGTTACTATTATTTCCCTAGTTCTGGAGCCAGCTCAGAGCTCTCGGGACTAGACTCCCTGAAGGTACCAGGGCAGGTGTCCAAGGAGCAAGGTCAAATTAAGGCACTCCTGGGCCCTTTGCAAAGAACCTTAATTCCTCATTAATTTGGATTCAACCAGTTCATTACTGGGGATAATTTGGACTGGGAATAGCAAAGAAATGGTTTACTAAACAGATTAACAATATAAACTAAGGAATGTATGAACCACTTAGGAAAAAAGCTGCTTTTAATCCTCACCAAGTACTCTAGAAACACTTATTCCTTAAAGGCTGCCTAAGGATTATTTACAAACCATTCTACATATTAAAGCAATTCTGCAAGATGTTTATTTGCAAGTCTTTACTAGGCTTTGTAAGAATTTAAAAGGTACAAAACAACATGTCTTTCAATTACTGAATAATTAAGTTCAAATTCCATTTCCATTGCTTACTAGCTGTGTGATGTTGGGCAAGTAAATATTTAACCTCTATAAACCTCTTCTCCTCTAGAAATGGCACCTACCTCATAGGGTTCTTAAATTACATTCAAATCAGATACAATAATGCATGTTAAAAATCTTAACAAAATGTCCTGCATAAAGTAAATGCTCAAACAATGCTGCTAGTCTTATCTTACTGCGTTTAATCTTAATTTTACCACTTAACTATGTGATTATGGCCAGGTCACTTAACCTCACTGACCTTCATTTCCTCTTTTGTCTAAAGGAAATAACCACTACCTCAAAGTTTTGTTAGAAGGATTTAATATTTTTTTTTAACTTTTAAAGCAATTAGCGTGGCTTCTGGCACAAATTCAGTGCTCAATAAATATGTTAGTTGAATCTGAACTCAGACTTTTTTTATAAAATGATTTTATTTATTTAACACAGAGAGAGAGCATACACATGGGGGAGGGGCAGGGGGAGAAGCAGGCTCCCTGCTGAGCAGGGAGCCTGATGCAGGGGCTCAATCCCAGGACCTTGGGACCATGATCCCAGCCGAAGGCAGACACCTACCTGACTGAGCCACCCAGGCGCCCCTTAACTCGGACTTTTTGATCTAGTTCATTAAGAAGAGTGAGGTCAGATGTAATAAAAGAAGGAGGCTTCTCATAAAAGAATATAATGATCCTTAACAGGAAGGTGGAACATGAGGGGGAAAGTAGAAGAACTATGACCTATGATTTGATCACTTACAATGGACCGAGCTCTGAGCTAATAATGTCTTAATCTTTCAAAAACCTTATGCTATAATTATCCTCATTTATACAGCAATGCACATGTGACTTCTGGTCAACTATCCAGGACACCAAGAAAACAGTGAGGAGGAAGGAGGAGAAGGGAAGGACCTATTGTACCTGCTAACGCTCCAGCCTGCTGCAAAGCCTGGTATACGCATATACCCCAAACACTCAAGTTTAGGGCTGCTACTAGGTAGAAGAAAAAGCCAGTGTGATCTTGGGGTGCATGAGAGGTGATGTTCATGGGCCCAGAAGAAACCTTTTCTCAATAGTCTATAGCAGTCAGAGCCTTGCTAGAGCTATGAGCAAAGGTGGTAATCCCTTCCTGTAAGAATATGGAAATCTGGGTGCCTGGGTGGCTTAGTTGGTTGAACGTCCAATCTTGATTTCCACTCAGGTCATGATCTCAGTGTCACGAGATCAAGCCCTGCCTCCCAGCTCCGTGCTCAGCGGGGAGTCTGCTTCTCTCCTTCTCCCTCTCCTTCTTCCCCCCTCCCCCACCTCGCGTGTTCTCTCTTTCTCAAATAAATAAATAAATCTTAAAAAAAAAAAAAAAAAGAATATGGAGCTCTGGAGAGGGACCAGTAAGTCAAGAGTTAGAAGCTAGTTTCTACAAGGAAAAAAAAAAAGCATTAAAATAAAATGGGGTCATATCACCCAGAGAATATAAAACAAAGACAGGATTTGATAACTATCTTCAAATAGAGGCTATCTAAAGGATGCTGAATAGAGTCATGGAATTCTGAATTGAAAAGAACCATATATTCTTACTTTGCAGATAAGAAAATTAAGGTTCAAAAAAGTGACTTGCCCAAAGTCTCATGGCCAATAGTGGCAGAATTAGGGCCAATACTAAAATCTCCTGATTCCAAATAATATTCTTTCTAGCATAACACAAGAAAAACATCTTCAGCTTCATCAAAGAGCAAATGAAGAGATAGCAGAAGTAAAATTCAAACAGAAACAATTCCGATCCAAAAAAGGGACAACATCTTCAAAGTCAGAGGGATGATAGACTGAAATGAGTTAGACCACGGCCCTGAAAATCCTCATGGAGAAAAGAGGCAACCAGCTGTCCCAGTTGGTTTTGACCATGATTCCCATTTGGGAAATGAAAAATTTTTAGCATTAGTTGACTCTCTACTCTTCATGCGTACCACCATGCTTTTATCTACACACAAGTATCTATTTAACTAAAATGCATTTTAATTAACTTTAAGGGGTGCCTGGGTGGCTCAGTTGGTTAAGCGACTGCCTTCGGCTCAGGTCATGATCCTGGAGTCCCAGGATGGAGTCCCGCGTCGGGCTCTCTGCTCAGCGGGGAGTCTGCTTCTCCCTCTGACCCTCCCCCCTCATGTGCTCTCCCTCTCTCTCAATCTCCCTCTCAGATAAATAAATAAAATCTTTAAAAAAATAAAATAACTTTAAGTATCTTACAGCACAGCAAACTATTGACTGAAAGTGAATGTCCACGGGGTATTGCAAAAGCAGAGTCGGATTCAATTCACTAGTTTCAAAATGCATCTGCTAGTTCTCATGCCATATTTGTGGGTAAACTGGCATCACTTTTTGGAAGACAATTTCACAATAACTATTACAGTTTAAAATGTATGTATCCTTTGACCCACTCCTAGGAAGGTCCCCTGGGGAAAGCATGCTGCCGATAGGTCCCAACAGGAAACAAACTAAAGGTCTATCACTATTAGCCTGATTCAATTAAAAGGTACATCCATGTATAAGAATCTATGTAATCCTTTAAAAAAATGAAGTAGAACTGTTAACTATAAAAAGATACCAAGGTATACTGGGGTGCCTGGGTGGCTCAGTTGGTTAAGCATCTGCCTTTGGCTCAGGTCATGATCCCGGAGTCCCGGGATCGAGTCCCGTATCGGGCTCCCTGCGTAGTGGGGAATCTGCTTCTCCCTCTGCCCCTCAACCCACTCGTGCTCTCTCTCTCTCAAATAAATAAAAATTTTAAAAATAAATAAATAAAAGATAACAAGGTATATTAATTTATTATATTTATTATATTATATTATATCTTTAAAAAAACTGGTTATCTTTTGAAGAGGGATCAACATGACAGGAAAGCAAGAGGAAAATATCTTTATTTTTTATTTACTTTTAAGTAGAATATGAATTTTTGTTTTTGTTTTACTGTGTGCAGGTATTGGTTGACCTTTTTTTTTTTTTAAGATTTTATTTATTTATTTGACAGAGAGAGAGAGAGAGACAGGAAGAGAGGGAACACAAGCATGGGGAGTGGGAGAGGGAGAAGCCGGCTTCCCGCTGAGCAGGGAGCCCAATGTGGGGCTTGATCCCAGGACCCTGGGATCATGACCTGACTCTAAGGCAGACCCTTAAGGACTGAGCCCCCAGGCACTCCATACTTTTTTTTTTAAATATAGTATGTGCTGGGCGCCTAGGTGGCTCAGTAGGTTAAGCATCTGCCTTCGGCCCATATCATGATCCCAGGGATCAAGCCCCAGATTGAGCCCCACATCGGGCTCCCTGCTCAGCAGGGAGCCTGCTTCTCCCTCTCCCCCTGCTTATGCTCTCTCTCTCAAATGAATAAATAAAATCTTTAAAAAAAAAAAGATAGGCTAAATGAAAGCAATTATTATTTAAAAATAAATAATAAAATTGCATACCTCTTAAAAAAAATAAAATATAGTATGTGCTTAGAATCAAGGGGTTGGAGGGAGCTTGGGTTGCTCAGTCATTTAGCGTCTGCCTTCGGCTCAGGTCATGATCCCAGGGTCCTGGATTCGAGCCCCGCATCGGGTTCCCTGCTCAGCGGGAAGCCTGCTTCTCCCTCTCCCACTCCCCCTGCTTGTGTTCCTGCTCTCGCTGTGTCTCTCTCTGTCAAATAAATAAATAAAATCTCTAAAAAAAAAAAAAAAAAAGAATCAAGGGGTTGGATCAGATGACCTTTCAAGGTCCCTTCTAACTCTAAACTTCTAACTCTAACTAAAACTTAATGATTTTATGTCCTAGAGGCATTTGGTGGGGAAAACAGAGGGATAAGTTGCAATGGCAATGAGCCCCAGCTATAAAGCAGATAGAACATGATGAAACATTCTATTCTCAAAACCCCAGACTCCTACAGGAGAGGGGCAACAATCAGGTTGGAGGGTAGGAGATCTGGAGGCTTGTCTTGAGAGCTGCACTTAATAGCACTTTATATAACATTGAGAAAACAAATTGTCTTCATCAAAGATGGAGAAGGGTTGGTGATGGGGATCACAGGTGGACTAGGCACCCCCAAGTCACCACTAGCCCTGCCACCATTAGCAGGCGAGCATCTCGGCAGGCTACAGGATGAGCGGGGAGGATGCCAGTGACCTAAGAAGGGCTTTCCAATAACAGGAACAGAAATGAGGGTTCTAAATATCTTGAATAGTAGGTTTTGCAGGTAGAGGGGAAAAAAGACATTTTTGCTGTGCATCTATTATGTTCCAGGCAGTCTGGCAGAACAGTTGAGAATTCAGGGCTGCAATCAGAGCGCCTGAGTTTGAGTCCTGGCTCTACTACCAGCTGGCTGTGTGCGACTGGGCAAACTACTGAACCTGTCTGTGTCTCAATTTTTCACAGTAAAATGGGGGTGATAATAGTCCCTACCTCCTGAGGGTATGGTGAGAACTGAGTTAATCCACATAAAGTGCTTAAGTCATCACATATCCTAGGTGAAAATGAGCAAATACAGGTGAGCAATGATGATGATTAAGGTGCTTACTAGGACCCTGGTGATAGCAACTACTCTTCTCCATCCTCCTCCTCCAGGGAGGATGTGCTGGGGGAGGGGCAGCTGTCAGTACTCACCTTCGATCTGGTCGGCAGTGAAGTCTATCTGTGGGGAAGGAAACACAAGAATGAGCGCTGAGACTGCCAAAGGCTCCCAGAGGGAAGCAGAAGTGGCTTCCACCACAGTCGGGGACAGGGGGAGGACCTCCCGCAGGCCACCAGTCGGGGGAGGAGACAAAGGGCACCCCAGTCTCCTGACGAATGAACTACAATGAGCTATCAAATAGTGCAGCCACCAGAGTCCCCTCAATACCACGTGTGAAGTGATGGCTCAGAATGAGAGGGAAAGAGAGAAAGAAAAATACTCTAGAGAACTCTAGAACCTATGGCGACCCCCTGTGGTGATCTCTTCGGGTCAAATATAAATTGCTCAACCTAGCTGGCCATAAACTGCCCTCACTTCCAACCTGACTCCACAGTCCACCCACAGTCAGACTTCCTCTCCCTTTGGGCGTCCACCACTCTTCACCCTCCGCCCCCCTTTCCTCCTTGATGCTGACTCTCCATTCACCTCCTTCAATCCCACCTTCTCTTCCCTCGCCCCATCCCACCCCTCACCCCCCAGCACATGTCCCTCTTGGTCATCAGGACAGCAAGCCTAGCTTGGGTGAGCCCTCAATGTTTCCCAGCTATCCCACGGCCCTGCCTCTAGATGTGCCCAGGCCTCCCGAAGCCAGAATTCCCCCTGGGCCAGAATTTTTGTTACCGCTCACAGAGATGCCTGGCACGGAGCAGACACTCAAAAAATATTTGTTGAGTGAAGGAATAAATTTTGGATTCGCCCCCACAATGCATAATAATTTAATGCTGAGTACAGAAGAGGCAGGTGGGAGGCTCTGAAAATGAATGACAACGAACAAGCATGAGTCATTATTGTAATTTGGGATTTTGTGTGTTACTTCATCATCCTTGATCTGCCACCATGCTCCCCACCTGATCTCCTCTTCACCAGGGGTGGTAACCACCCCCGGCGCATCTTTTTCACGGAGCACCATTCCTAGTCCTAACTCTGCAGCTTGTGCTGTGCCCCGCAGGTGAACCCCTGTTAATGAGGACCCCTGGGGGTGGCTGGAATGAGCTAGGAGAGCGGAGGAGGGGTTACACCGGGTGGGGAAGGAAACTAGCTGTGACCGGGACCGGGCTTTGCCGCAGGTGGGGTTGGTCAGGAAGGTAAAGATAACCCTGAAATAGGGTAAAGGATGCTTTGCACAAACTCTCTGAGGGTAAGGTGCAGTTGCCCCAGGAGTAAATGTGTAAGAGAAATGAGTATTAAAACATAAAATCAGAATCTGTGGTCATAATCACACATACTGGGTTAAGTTTACTTTTGTTTTGTCTTTTTGAGCAGAGTTTTCAAAGCAAAGGAACCAGATAAGTACAATAATAGGGAAATCATATCCTTCCAATCATGAAGGACACCTACTTTTTTTTTTTCACTTTAAAGCAATTTCAACAACCCTCAGGATTGGAAGATCCAGATGTGGGAAAGAGGACTGCATCAAAAACTAAGGATTTACTATATGTTGGCTAACTGAACATAATAAAAAATTAATAAAAATAAATGAATTAAAAAAAGAAAAGAGGACAGCAACCAGGGGAGAGAAAGCGGGGGAGGTGGGTGGATGGAGGGAAGTGATGGGTCAAAGAGAAGGCTCTGATCTGATACTACTTGGCAGCTGTCACCCGGACACCAGGGACCAGGCTACCCCCCAGGAGGAGCGCATTGTCGGAATGAAGCAGAAATAAAAGCATCCTGATGGGGCGGGAGAGAGTCAGCTTTTCTTGTGAGGCTCTGCCAGTAGCGGGAGTAACGAATGACCCAGGTACTTTCAAGGTCTTGACACGATCGCCTCCACGTGACCCAGGTACTTTCAAGGTCTTGACACGATCGCCTCCACGTGACCCAGGTACTTTCAAGGTCTTGACACGATCGCCTCCACGTG